CCCCCCAGGAGACGATGCAGAAGCTGACGTGGCTGGCATCGGAGCGGAGACTGAGCCAGGAGGGTGACTCGGAGGAGGAGAACTCTCAGGAGGAGAACTCTGAGCCCGAGGAGGAGGAGGAGGGTGAGGGACTGGACCTGAAGGAGGCGGATGGAGTCCCTCGGGCAATGGTGGACAAGGAGGGACAGAATGCAGGCTTCCCGACTGCCCGGGGGGAGATCAGCGCTGGTGGCTGCTTACCAGGTGGGTCATCACGATAGCCCTGGGCTCCTGTGACCCCCCCCCCCCAATGCCAGGGCTCAGATGGCTGATGCCCTTCCTGGGTGAGTAGCTCAGGAACCTGTTGTGCCACTGCTCCCAGCTCTTTTTAAACACTCCGTATCTGCAGGACCTTTCCCACAAGTTGACACTCTCCATTAAATAACCTCTCATCGGGGTGAGATCTCCGCAGACGTGTTGCCTCCTGCTTTTGCCCTCAGCCAGTTGTTTCACCGTTATACTTGAATCCACGCTCTCATTTCACCCTCTCGCCTTGTCCCCACCGTCCCCAACACCAAACCCCTGCTGCTGTTGCTGTTGTCTTGTCTGTCACTCTGTTTTTTTCTGGACTCTGTCTCTATCCTATTGTCATTTTTCTTTCTCTCTGTTTCTCTGTCTGTCTCATTGTCATTTTCCTGTCTCTCTATCTCTGTTACTGTTGTGCTTTCTGTCCCGGTGTCATTTCACTCTCACTGTGTGACCCATTGTTTTGTGTCCCTCTTACTTTGTGGTGTCCTGATCCCCCTCTATAGGGACCAATGCTGTCTGTGCAGTGAAGCAGTGAGACTCTGATACACATCATTGCCCGAACCCACATGTGACCCATCAATGTTAGCTCTGCTGCTGTTAGAATATGACAGGTTCAGTGATCAGACACCGTTATGTGATTGTATCGCGCTGCAGTTGTAGGCACGGACACTGCAGCCACCCAGACCTGCACTCCAACATGCACACACTCTCTCTCTCTGTCTGTCTCTCACACACACACTCTCTCTGTCTCTCACACACACACTCTCTCTGTCTCTCACACACACTCTCTCTGTCTGTCTCTCTCACACTCACTCTGTCTCTCTCTCACACTCACTCTGTCTCTCTCTCACACTCTCTGTCTCTCTCTCACACTCTCTCTCTCTCTCACACACACTCTCTCTCTCTCACACACTCTCTCTCACACTCTGTCTCTCTCACACACACACACACTCTCTCTCTCTTTCTGTCTGTCTCTCACTCTCTCTCTCACTTTCTCACACACACTCTCTCTCTCACACACACACTGTCTCTCACACTCTCTCTCTCTCACACTCTCTCTCTCACACACTCTCTCTCTCACACACACACTCTCTCTCACACACACACTCTCTCTCACACACACTCTCTCTCTCACACACACACTCTCTCTCACACACACTCTCTCTCACACACACTCTCTCTCACACACACTCTCTCACACACACTCTCTCACACACACTCTCTCTCTCACACACACTCTCTCTCTCACACACCCTCTCTCTCTCACACACTCTCTGTCTCTCACACACTCTCTCTCTCTCTCACACACACTCTCTCTCTCTCACACACTCTCTCTCTCTCTCACACACTCTCTCTCTCTCTCACACACTCTCTCTCTCTCTCACACACTCTCTCTCTCTCTC